TGGTGAAACCTGTTTTCCTTGGGTTTACTGGGAAGTCGGCTGTTGTCCCAACAGAAACTGCGCGGTGGACAGCAGGTGGCGCTGCCGCCTCATGGAGAAGCCACAGGGGTGCTCTTTCTGGGGTGGGTCAGATGCGTGGGCTGCCTCCGCTTCTCTCTCCACTCACATATCCTGAGTGCCTTCCAGCCAGATGTGGGCCAGTGGGAGCCCCCTCTCCCCAGGGAAGGCATCTTGGTGAAGACCCCTGGAGAGTTGATTAGCACCCACTGCCCATGCCTGCTGACCATGCCCAGGCCTCGGACCATTTGCACAAACAGCGCTGTGCTCCCTGTGTCACGTGAGCTGTGGCCACGCCAAGGTGTTGTAGAACCCAGAAACACATGTGCTGATCTGTGGCTGGCGCTGGGGGCATTTCCCAAACACAGAAACAGTTTACCCTTTTTCAGGGGACGTCTGAGGACCTGGCGCACTTCCCTGGGGCCATTAACCCTAGACACAGTGGGACGCATGGCCTGTGCTCCCTCCATGGTGTGGGAGTTTTAATAAGATGCTTGGAGAGGCTTGTCACCATTTCTTCTCCCCAGACCACTGTTCCAAAGCCACAGGGTATGGCCTGCACCTTTTCTGCATCCCCCGCCCCCCGGAAAACTTACCCTGTAAGAGTTGGAGGGAGCCTCTCGCTGATCATGCTCACACTGGGGGCTTTCTGCCTCTGCTCGGGGCCCGGAGTTGCCCTGGCCTTGGTGATGTCTCTTTAGCATGTCAACACGACCCCAGGGGTCCTGGTGCTGGAAACAGTACCCTGGTCTGTCAAGCCGTGATCACCAGGGTGTATGTGCCACCGAATCCAGCCCCTTGCAGTGGCAGACACATGGAGGTGCTCAGTGTCCATGGCCGTTCTTCCTCTCTCTCACACTCAGAGACGTCCCCTGCCCATCCCCAGAGCACGTGCGTCGACACCGAGAAAAGCCTGTGATTTGTCTTGGTCCTAAAATCCATCTGTGTACCCTCACGAGTGGATATGGCTTGTCTGCTGGAGATGCCCAGCAAAGGCCTCTCTTCTTGAAACAGCCCAGAGTTCTGACATGTTGATGCCCAGAAGATTCCAGAAGCAGAACAGGGAAGCACAGCCCCATGTGCTACCCTAGTTGGCCTCTGTCGTCTTGAGTTTCAACTTTCATTTGAGCTTCCCTCCTCTGGACTAAGGGGGCCAAAAGAAGCGAAGGGGGCTTCCATGGGGGGCCAGGGTGGAAGCCCATGAAGTCTAAGTCCGTTGTGCCAGAGGATGTGGATGTCAGGGGTGTGAGCTCAGGCTGCTGGGCCAGTCTCCCCACCCCATCTGCGTGACCACACCGCCAGCTCCCAGGCAGACGTGCTGAGAGAGGCCCTGTGTTCAGAGACCCCAGCAGAAGTGGTCTCATGGGCCACACTTCAGTTGCCCCTTTTCACTAGGCCTGGTGGCTGGAGGAAAGTGGGTGACCAGGAGCCATGGAGCACAGTGCTTTAGGGACATGGGCTTTGGGTCTGAGTCCAAATTCCAGCTCTTATTAGCAGTGTCTGGAGCAAGGCCCCTGACCTGTCCATGCTTGGTTTCTGCCTCTGGAAGGCAGGGGTAGTCCTAGGACCTCCCTAAGAGAATCCCAAGAAGGGCCAAGGGGTGTGTGGGAAGAGGGCTTGCCATGGCCAGCACGCAGCATGCCCTGTGAACATGAACGTCGGCTGCATGTCTGCGTGCCTGGACTCGGAGCCGTTGCGGCAGCCGGGCGGGAGGGGGCAGCATTGGCTGAGCCTCCTTCACCAGGGCTTTTCCCAGGAGCCCAGAGAACACTGGGGGGAGAAACTTCAAACTCAAGCAGTCACCAGGACCCCTGGAAATCTGTGAAGACTGGAATCCTGGGTCCCACCTCCAGAGGGTTGAATCATGTAGCTGTCAGGGCCACCCTCTCCCAATCTGCAGTTTCAACAGACACCCCAAGTGTTTCAGATGAGGGCAGTTCGACACTGAGGATAACCATCAGAAATGAAGTCGTTGGGCTCAGGGGTCTTCTGGCCTGGAGGTTAGGAGGTCCTCCCTGGGAAGGGAGCAGAGTCTGCTCAGGTGCAGCATGCCAGAAGATGGGGAGCTCAGTGGCTCCCAAACTGAGTGCTCATTGGAAACCCCTGAGTCTAGGACCTTGTAAAGTACAGAATCTTGCATCTTGTATGGCACCCACCCTCCCCCCACACACACCCTCGGACAGACTGGCAGATCTCTAGGGAAGCAGGGCGAGACATGCGTGGGTTTTGTGGCCACTCATGTCTGGGTACCACAGAGCTCCTAAGGATATTAGCCACTGCCCTTCATAGGTTGTGAGGACGGTATTGTTAGGGATAAGGAAACTGAGGCTCACAGGTGATAGGGCTTGCCCAGGCTTGGTGGTGACAGAGCAGGGACTGTAGCTTCATCTCTCCACTTCCTCTGGAATAGCTGCCGGCTAGTGGGGGCTTGGAAGGCAGGGAGCCAGGCCTTTATGCACCCCTACGCCTCTCCTTGTCCCCAGCTCTCCAGCCCCAAAGGGAGAAGAAAACTGGGACAGATGGGCTTTGATGGGCCAGGCACCTTCCCATCAGAAACACATATCCTGAGTGCCTTCCAGCCAGATGTGGACGAGAGGTGGGCGCGAGGGAGGGAGGAAGCTCCATGGTGTGAGGGCTGGCTGGGCCTTCAGTTCCTTCCCGCCTGGGACTGGGCAGCCAGGAGAATGCCAGGGCACTTCTGCTGCTGGGTCTGCGATGGGCCAGAGGCTAGGGTGCGCCCAGGACGTCAGCCCCCTCCCCCAACTAGAACCCTGGAGTCCCTGGAATGTGTAATCCACAAACAAATTCTATGGCATAACCCTTGCCACTTCCCGCTTCCAGGCATTTTATTACTGGAGGGATTCATACACTTAGAGCAGCTTGACTGCATTGTTCCAAGACAGTCCCCCACTGAGGTATGCTCAGAGGTTTTTGAATTAATTCTACCTAGGATGCCCCTATGCTACAATGATACCCATTTATGCACACAGCGCGCATGGTTTTGCACCAAACTCAGAAATGCCTTTACATTTCAAAGATTGCAACTTGTATATGCACAGCACGCTTTTGTGGGGCTGCGCCAGTAGTCGCAGCGCGCCGGGGTCGGAGCTCGCCCGTGGCCCCTGTGCACATGAGGGATGAAACGGGCCCCGGGGAAGATACAGCCCAAGCGAGCGGGTTTCTGAGAGGCGCCAGCAGCCACTGCAGTAGCGTCCCGCAATCTCAAACATGGGTCCGGATTCAGCCCCTTTCCGAGCCAAGCTTTCCTCGCGGGGAAGGCTCTTCTCTCATCCCCAGGCCCTGGGTCAGACCGGGAGACAGAGGCCAGGCCCAGCCTGGAGCTCCCTGGCCAGTTTTCCCGCACAGGCCCCTCTGCGTGCCTCCCATGCAGCCTGGCCGGGATGTGGGAACAGTGGGAGAGCCCGCTGAGACGCAGGGTGCCGCCGGGGAGATTGAGCAGGAAGCCGGGGCTCACCTCCGCCCCAGACTCTGGTCCAGCAGCACCGAAGCCAAGCACAGAACGCACTAGATCTCTGGTGGACGGGGTTGGGGGGGGGGGCAGGGGGGGGGGTGCAGAGGCTGGAGACGTTGCTGGAGACTGGGGAGCTTGCTGGTTGGGCTGGCATTGGGTTTCTCCTAATCAACCCTGCTTCCCGGAGCCTAGGTCCTAATTGGGGGCTCAGTCTCCGTGGCGCAGGAGGGAGGACGAGGCCCACTCTCGCCTGCGGTCCTTGCCTGGATGCGAGCGCAGCGCTAAGTTTCTGCTCTGGAGGCCCCGGGGAATTTTCTCTGGCCTTGTTTTCCTGGGCACCGATGGGATGCTGTGGTGGCCTCCACCCCAGGAGGACAGTGCCTTCTCTGCTCGCTGCAAACGGGCTCCCGGAGTGCAGGGCCAGGCGCCTGCGGGCAACAGCGGACTGCGCCGGGAGACCGCGGCCCCGCCGCTTCGGCCCACCAGAGACCCCAGGGATGGAGTCCCCGGACTTTTCCTGTACCCTTTATCTCAGTTTTATAGACAGCGGTTAGTTTGGGACATTAATTGCTTGGGCGAGTTTGATAATTTTGATGTAACAGAGCACTGGAGAAATTACTCTCAAGTCCAAAATGTCAAATTTGAGAAGAACCAGGTTCAGAGGCTTGCGACCCCACGACGCGGAGAAACTGCGGTGGGTCCTGAATGGCCGCACGGACAATGTGATCTAACTGTTTGTTTTCTTAGGTAAGCGGGAATTGGAATAGAAAGAGGGTGGTCGGCTGGAGACACAGGTTTTAAACAGTGTTTTCCCCCCACAATGACTTTGGGGAAGATGTTACTGAATGGAAATGTTTTTGTCACCTTGCTCTCCCACCAATGGTCCTTTTCTTGCTTAAATTTCACTCACTTCTCAGTTGGGGAAAACCAAGTGTAGAGCACCAAAAACAAAAAACCCTCCAAAAACAAAAAGACAAAAACTGTACAAAAAAATTAAAGTTGTTTCATAATTTATAACAGCTAGGACATGGTAACAGTAAGCCTGAAACTCCAAGTAAAACTGATTGGTGGCAAAAAAAAAAAAAAAGTTAAAAGTTAAGAAAAAAATCACATAAAAAAATATATCTATATGGTTTTCCCTGGGCAAAGGAGGAGCACAGTTTTTCTTTCAATATCTGATTATATCTTTAAAACAAGAAATGACACTTAGGGGGGCAGAGGGCTCTTCTTAAAAAACAGAAGCCAAGAAAAATAGTTACTCACGTCCAGATTTCACTTCAGTGGGAAGTGAAGGATGGAAAGAGGAGGATTAGCAAAAAAAAAAGAAGAAGAAGGGGGGGGAGAGAAAAGAAAAAAAAGTATTCAAAAAAACCCATATTTTACATATACAACAAACAAGTCTAGAGAGATCCCAAGCTGGCTCCCGTGTATATTTTGGGGTTTGGAAGATATTCTGCAATCCCAATCCCAATAAAATACTCATGCGATTTTATTTCTAGTTGATACAATGTTAAAGGCAATGTACAAATGTTATACATTTTTATTTTTGTTCTTTTTTTAGGAAAAAATACACAAAAGGCAAAACATCCTCAAATTGTCATTTTATACAGTGCAGAAGGAAATTTAAAATACGTGTCACAAATGCTGCACCCCAGCAGCCAAATACTAAAAAAAGGGGGTAGTCCTTCATTTTATATATAGATTTATATAAACATATGGAAATTTGTTTTTACACAGATCGGACTTTGTTTCAAATTTACAATGGATCTCTAAAAAAAAATTCTACGCGGCAAATATTGCCAACAAAGTTACACCATTAATACTGATAAACGGAGGAGCCTATGCGGTGTTTCGATTATTAGGGAAAGAAAGTAGAATAAATAACAGGATGAGCCTTGCTATAGTTTAAAAAAGTGCCTTAACCTTTCTGCGTCGCCGCAATCCTGAATTCGTGCGCTCACCGGCCTTCCCTGTCCCCGCGCCGCGCTGTGACCCCCTTGCTCTCACACCAGCACGTTTTTTACAGTAGAGATCGGGAGACAGTCGGGTCTTGTGAGAAAAACACCCGCCAAAAAAGTCAAAATGCAACTGGAAACAAACCAAAAGGACTGTAGAGAAGGCAGAGGAGGGCTGAGGGGAGGGCAGAGGCCTGGGGAGCCCCTGCTTCTGGGCTCCTTCTGGTTTCCTTTTGTAAGACGAACAGTGGCTTCAGAAACGCAAGTCCGCACAAAGATCCACCTGTGGTTGCTGGAGGGCTTCTGAGATGGGGAGGGAGACGTGATTTCTTGCCCCCCCTTCCCTGCAAAAAAACGGCTCTAAGAGGAGACTTGCGCATTCCAAGACATTCTTTCCAAAAAAAAAAAAAAAAAATTAAAAATAAAACGATAAATACTCAACCAAAAAATAAAAGTATTTGATAATGATGGTCTCACATGTTTGCCTTTCTTCTGAAAACCTTCCCCCACTTTTGCCATTGGAGGGAAGGTGGGGAGAGGCCTCAGCAGAATTCTTGTTTAGATGTTGAGGTTTCCGCCAATACAGCACCTTCTCAGCGGGCTTCAACTGGATCAAAAATAGATACTTTATTTACCAACAGCTGCAGTCAGACCAGGCCCCACAGCCACCATTTGTTAATTTTTTGAAGGAGTGGGGGAGGAGGTTCTGACCACCATGCTGGGTCTTTGCCTTGGGGATTCCTTTCCAAATAATCCGGGTGGGTAGGGGTCAAACCCTTGTCTTCTGCCTACGGTTATACCTCAAGAATAAAGCAGTTTCTTGCGATGGGTTCCGGGTCCCTGCGCCAGGCCGCCCGTGCCTGGAGGGTCCCGCCAGCGGCGGCCTCACATCACGCAGGGCTTGATATCTTGGTAGGTGACCTGCTGGTGGTAGTAGGAGCCACTGCCGGCCGAGTGCATGGACGAGGACGCCATGGTGTTGAAGGAGAAGACGAACTCCTTGCGGTCACACATGCCGGGGGACTGGGAGTGATACCTCGGGATGCCTGCAAAGGAGGCAACAGGAGGGCAGGGAGCAGAGTTAGGGTCGGGGCCCAGGGCTCCAGGCGGAGAAGCCGCGCCACCCGGCTCCAGCGCACAGCCCTGCTGCCTCCCTACGCCCCACCGAGGTGCCAGACTCCCAGAGTTCCGGCCTCAGGCGGGTCCAGGCAGCCCCGGGTTTCAGGCCCTAGGCTCTGTGCTCCAGCAGAAGATCCCAGGACCCCAGCAATGACCCCTGCTCCCTGGATGCCCGCTGTGTGGGCCTCTCTCGTCTCGGACACCAGAGCTCTGGGCTGGGGCTTCCTGAGGCTGAAGGGGAAGGGGTGAGGGGGCTGCCATGGACCAGCACACCTCAAGGGGAGTCTGGCCTCCACCTCCACGGCCAGCCCAAGGCCTGTGCCTGGTGCTGGGGCACCCACTTCCCAACCCCAAAGCCTGCAGAGGCCCTGGTGCGGCTGGAGGCTTCTCCAGGGGAAGGGCCCCTTGGAGAACAGCCCCCTCCCCCAAGGGGTGGAGAGGCAGCAGAGGCAGGGAGTTTGAAGCAGCCCGAGCAGGGAGATCCCCGTGGAGAGGCGGCCCTCTAAACTCCAGGCCGGCTCCTGCCTCCCTCGGGTGGCTGACAGCTGAGCCCTGATAGGCCCTGCTTAGCTCCTCCGTGCCCTTTCCAGAACCAGGCCCAGAGAGGCTGGTGGGGGCGGAAAGGAGAGTGCCGGAGGGGAGACTCTTCTGCATCTCCTTCTCAGAGGGGTAGGAAGGAGTATACCTGGGGAACTGAAAGCCTGGATCCTCAGAAACAAAGAGTCTGTGGAGCCTGCACCTCTAACTCTTGCTCTGGGCCTGGCCACAGCCCCTCTCTGCCTCTGTCATCACAAAATGTCCCCCAACTCGACCTTCCCACAGCCAGGCCTGGTTCCCCGGGAGGTGTGGGTGCTGGGCCTCTGAGCACCCAGCCCAGGCAGCTTTGGGCCTAACTCTCCCTTTCTGCCCCAGCAGCTTTCCGGTGCCAATTACAGGGGAGGCCCAGCCGGCTGGCCAAGACTGGGCTTGGGCTCCATCCTGGGAACTTGCTGTTAGGTGTGAGGGGGCTGAGGACTCAAAGAGATGTAGAATATTGGGCTCCTGAGTCTTTTTGGTGAGGAAGGGGCCTACTTGGCCAGGCTAGGGACTACCAGCAGCTGGGAGTTGGAACCGAAAAGGAGAAACAACAATTATCTTGGCCTAAATTGCGCCCCCCCCCCACAGCTGCACTCACCCTTCAAAGGACGGCATACAAGGCTGAGAGAGACTCTGGAGAGCTGATGCCTCCCCAAGCAGTGGGGTTCGCACCCCACGGAAGTGGCATCGAGCTCTCGCCCAGGGCGGTCAGCGGTTTGGGGGCTGGGTTCAGTGCACTGACAGATGTGGGAGTCCCCCAGGACTAGGACAGCCCTGGTCTCCCCACTCACCTTGCAACTCAGCTGGGGCGTTGTGACTGTTCTGGTGTAGATACGGCTGGTCCAGGGAGTGTGTGGAGAGACTGCCAGACAGGGGGTTGGCCGCGGGGTTGCAGGGGGACAGGGGCTGCTGCTTGATGTAGGAGGCGCCGCTGTTGAGGGCTGCGGAGGCCGAGGGCGGCCAGGCGGCCGTGGAGCCCGAGTAGACTGCGTGCGGCTCCATGACTCCACTGGCGGCCGCAGGCAGCAGCGGGGAGGCAGGCACCGAGCTGTCGTGGTGCGGGTACTCACCGGCCGCTGCACCGCCACAGCTGCCCATGTACGAGTGGCCACCGTTGGTGGGCAGGTGTGGCACCGAGTGACTGGGCAAAGCCATGCCGTCCACGTTGCCCGGCAAGTGGCCGTTCATCATGCCCAGGCCACCCTCCAGCGCCAGGCTGTTGGGCGGGCACGAGAGGCCGCCGGCGGAGCTCTGGAAGCCGTAGGTGTCCGGGAGGTGGTTGAAGCCGAGCCCGTTCATCATGCTGTACATGGGCTTGAGCGCCTGGCATTTCCTTCGGAAGCCGCGCGGCCGCCGCCGAAAGGAGCCCTCCTCGAACATGAACTCGCTGGCCGGGTCGATGGTCCAGTAGTGGCCCTTGCCAGGCCGCCCGAGGCCCTTGGGCAGCTTGATGAAGCACTCGTTGAGTGAGAGGTTGTGGCGCACGGAGTTCTTCCAGCCCTGGTAGGAGCCGCGGAAGAAGGGGAAGCGGCTCTGCAGGAACTGGTAGATCTCGCTGAGCGTCAGGCGCTTGGTGGGCGAGCTCTGGATGGCCATGACGATGAGCGCGATGTACGAGTAGGGCGGCTTCTCGGGGCGCCGGATGCCGGCGTTGGTCTTCTTGGCCTTGGACGGGCCGGACGACGCGGGGTCCATGGCCGCGCCGCCTCCCCCGCCGCCGCCGCCGCCGCCGCCGCCGCCGTGCGGTGGCTGCTGCTTCTCGGGCGCCGAAGACATCGGGTGGCTGCTGCCGCCGCCGCTGCCGCCGCTGCTCTGCGCCGCCGACGAGCCGGGAGGAGGAGGAGGAGGAGGAAGAGGAGGGGGGGCAGGAGGGCGAGGGGGAGGGGGCTGCGCGCGCGGGGCTGGCTGCACCTCTGCCGTCATCCGCGGCCACTTCTCCGGAGCGGGCCTCGGCGCGCCCTCCCCCGCCCGCCCGCCCGTCCTCCCCGAGGAGCTGCTGGATCCGCCGGCGGTTGGCGCGGAGCCCCCCTCTCCCCAGCTCCCTCCTCCCCCACCTCTCTCTCCTCCCTCTTTCCCTCTCGCCCTCCCACTAGGGAAGGAGCCGAGCGGAGGCTGAGGGCAGCTTCTTTGCAGCCCCCGCAGAGGCCGCGAGGAAGCCCCCCCTCGCCGGTTTTTTGGGGAAGGCACCACCTCCGGGGCCTGCGGCCGTGCGCCCCCGCGGGGAGCAGCACTTGGCCCCCGCCACCCGTGGCGCTCGGCTCCACGACTCCAGCCAGGCCGTCCTCACTGCATCTTCTCTCTGCGGCGTCTCGCGGGCCGGCCTAAGACCCTCCAGGAGTTCCCTCCCCTCCCCGTCCCCCTCCGGCCCCGCGTTGGTGGGCGCTTTAAAGGGCCCCCACCTTCGCCGCCCGGCGGCCGCCTGCAAAACCGCCCCGCCTCCACCAACCTGGCGAGCAAGTGTTAATGCGCCCTCCGCCCGCGGTTCAGCCCCGCTCTGCGCAGGCCCCCCTCCTTCCCCGCCCGGAGCCGCGGGCACCCTGGGCCTTTCCCGACGCGCACGGCCCGGTGGCGGATCGCAACTGCAGCGGCGGCAGCGGACACTGGGCTGTGGCCACCGCGGGCACAGCCGGTTCGGCCACGGGTCCCCGCGGCCAGCGGGCGTACGTTCCCGTGAGGGACCGCCTACCCACTCTCCCCGCCCCGGGAAGGACTGCGCTGCGCCCGGGACTTTTTGGACTCGCCCAGAAGCGCGCGAGCAGGCGGGTAGCCGCGGGTGCCGAGCCCGGGCGGAAAACGAAAGCTCAGGGCGGGTCGCTGCCGCTTTGTCTCGGGCTCCGCGGGCCGGCCGGGAGCAAGTGAGAACCGCCGGCCGTGTGGGGCCCAAAATCATGCAAGTCTCCTGGAACAAGCGGCCCCGCTCATTCGCTCATTCACGCACACACATGCATGCATTGGTGCACGTGCAAACCCGGTAAATTACGAAGAGTCAGAGGTGCAGACTCACACTCATGCGAGCCTTCCCACTCACGCACACACCTCGCTCGGGCACGTATGCCCCAAGTAATGCGCTCACTCACTTGCACACAATAGGCCCACAGGAGCTTCCATCCTCACCTACTCTCATTCACGTGTACACTAGCCACGTTCGGATCTGAACCCACATGCTGCCCAGGGCCCCCGCCCAACACACACGCACACAATGAAAATCCGCCCATTTGGCCCCGAAGCTCCGGTGTCCCCACTTTCCAAGAACAGGTTCCGATTTCTCATAGATGGTAAAGGCCCTGGCAGGAAGTTTATACGGCTCAACGTAAACACGTTCTGGGGGATTCTTTAATAATAATAATAGAGAATTCCGCGTGCGCGGGGGGAGTTGGCCTAATGCCCCTGTGGGCTCGGCCTGCCGCTGCCGCGGGGCCTCTGACACTGCGCGCCAGGCCAGGTTCCGGAAAGCAGTCTGCGCGGGCGGGGAGCACAGGCCCCGGCGGCCCTCTCGCGCCAGGCTGTCCGCAGCAGGGGGCTCGCACGCACGCCTTCCCTCGCAGTACCGGGGTGCGGGCTAGGGCTGGGTGGGAGGACAGCGGCGCCGAGCGCGGGACCGCGCAGGAGCTGGGCGCGACACAGCAAGCAGGGACCCAGGTGAGTGCTGTTCGCGCGCTGACTGCAGGACACCGAGCCCAGCCTCTCTGGCCCCGGCCCTGGGTCGAGTGTAGGGAGGAGAGGGAAGTTTTCAAGGGCCGTCGCGAGGAGCCTAGATGCCTTGCCCTGGCGGGAGCCTGGACAACACACAGATGCCAGGAGTGCCGGGAGGTTCGGAGTGCGCCCGCCCCGCGGCGCTTTTCAAAGCCCACCGTCCTCTCGGGTTCTTCTGGCTTCCTTGTCCCCTGCTGTCCCCCCTCCTCGCTCAGACGCCTTCAGCCACGGCGGTAGACGCCTCGTCGCCTTTGGGGCGCCTGGCACGTCTGTGCTAGGAGCTGGGGGGCTTGAAGGCGTAACGTGCCCAGCGGTCGCTGCCTTCCCAGGCCGAGTGGCGCTCGCGGGAGCCGAGAGAGTCTCCTTCTCCGCACTGCGCTTCCACTGGGCTCCCCTGCCTAGGGGAAGGGTTTGTGGAACGTTTGTGTGTGGCTGTATCTTCGCACAGGTGGGCGCACGCCCGCAGACACATCCCCATTTCACACAGCCCAGCCGCATCCACCGACCACTGAGACCCTGAGCACCGCGCACAGCCTCCAATACATCTTCTCAGTGAATACCCCTCACACAGCTTAGGAGCCTTGCTCCAAAGCACAGGCCTGCCCACCACAGAGGACGCGCTTTCGGTGAAGTGCACACACTCCTGCACTGTGCGTTCGCCCACGCACAGCCCCTCCATTCGCGCGTACACATGTCCATGCTCGCACACATTCTTACATTCTCTCCATCACTTTTTTTTTTTTTTTTTTTTTTTTTTTGGCCAAACGGCAGCTGCAGGCTAGGAGGCCCTGGCGGTGCCGGGAGGGAAGTTCCCGAGAAGGGGTCGCTACTGCCAACTGCTGGGAGCACATCTGGTGTTTAGTAGAGAGGCCCGTGGGGGAGGCTGCCCCACTCCCCAGCCTGCTAAAGGGTGCAGCCCTACCCTGCGGCTCCCAGAAATCGGGAGGACTAATGCCTCCATTTCTCTGACAGGGTGCCTTCAAAGTGAGGGAGCTCTATAGGACTTGCAATTGGGGGAGACTTTTTTCCAGTAGCTCCTTCCCTCTTGGGTCCTCTCCATTTGGGAGGGGGCTGCAGATGCCATCTTTGGCTAAACCCCCAGATCATTTCCTCCCTCCAGCACATGGTGGTCTTTCACTGGCTCCCCTGGGGGCTCCTGTGTGTTTTGGGGTAGGGGAGCTTCTGCCTTCCTGTGGAGGAAGTGTGGAGTTGGGGCCCCACCTGGCCTCCACTTACCCCTCAGGCTCTGGCAGCAAACCAGACTTTGCGGGGAAGGGGCAGCAGTTACCTTGCCCAGGGACAGGGGGCCGAGTGGCCCAGATTCTCAGCGATGAAGCAGATGGAAGCTCTTTCCAACCCCTATCTCCACCCAGGAGGGAGGTAAAGGTGGGAGTGTGAGAAGGTGGGGAAGGGAAACGAGCTCCCAGCTCTGTAATTTGGAGGGGACCCACCCCAATTATAGGAAAAACCACATCCATAGCAAGGAGGGCTTTTCTGTATGCCCAGAAAGGAGGCTCTCAGCTCTTAAGTTGCCCAGAGAAGTCTCACTTGATCTTACATTTTGAAGTGGGGAAACTGAGGCCCACCCAGGACCTGGCCTGGGTCAGCCAGCGCTGCCCAGCGAACACCTCTCCATCTTTTCTCTCTACCCCCAAGGACAGACCCTCCCCCCAGAAGCTTCAGTGCAGGTGGAGGGTGGAGAGAGTGAGTTTAGAGAAGCTTCTGTGCCCCCCGCTGCAAGCCCCTGGCTTCCCGGGCACACAGGCGCAGAGAGACCTTTTGGAGAGCAGGTGATAAAATAGTAATAGCTGTCACAGACACGGTGCCAGTAATAGAACTTCTCAAGCTCAACCGCTGGCTGCGCCAGGTGCTGATCGCAGCCTTATCAACACCCCTTGGATGTTCTTAACCTTTCCGTGGGGTGTGAATCCCTTTGACAGACCACTGAAAACTAGATCCTCTCCGCCCTCCCACCCCCAGAAGGCGCATACGTGCGACATTCATAGAGTGGTTTTCAAGGTCTCACCAAACACCTGGAGCCTGTCCACGAACCCATACCTCCCATCTATGTACCCAGGACCCAGGTTAAATGCCCCAAAAATACTTGTTTAATCTTCACAGAAGCCTTGAGGAGGTCAATATTATCCTTCCCTTTACCGATGGTCCCCAGCCCTTGTTATCCCATACCCTGGGGCTTCCTGCAGAGCCAGGATGCAAATCCAGATCTGACCACAGAACCAGGAGTTAAGCCACGGGGGAGTGAGGGTCTGCAGTGGAAAAGGCAGAGACCCTCTGCCTGCGTGCTGGGAATTGTCATGGTCCAGATTTGAATCCAGCATTCACCATGTAGGGATGTTACATAAGTTATTAGTGCCTTATTTTATTTTGGTGAGGGGAGATGGTTGTTGGTTGATTTTTTTTAACAGCTTTATTGTGATATAATGGACACATAACATTGTGTAAATTTAAAACGTACAGTGTGTTGATTGAATACATTTACGTTTTGCAAAATGATCGCCACCACGCATTCCTCATTCCTCCATGCCACCTCTATCCCGACGACGCGTGGTTACCATTTCTTTTGTGTGTGAGAGCATTTAAGATCTACTTTCTTAGCAACATTCAAGCATATGATATGGTATTATTAACTGTAATCATCATGCTGTGTACCTTAGGTTTTTCATCTAAAAAGGGGACAAATAACGGCACTTATTCTCAGGGCCATTGTGAGCATTGAGCAAGCGTGTGCAGAGTAAGACTTGGGCTATCCTAGAGACAGAAACAAACAAAACCCCCGGGGCCCAGCTCATGGAGCAGGCGGAGAAAATACAGACAGGGATGTGGGCAGCTTTTTCTTCTTAGCTTAAAGAGATCCATAAAGACACCCCTCCCATCCCAAATCAAATCTGCGCCCCAGCTTTAGCCCCAGGAATCCTAAATTGGGGTGGGGGGGGTGTAAAAACAGACACGCCTGCCATGTCTCCTACTCCCCGAGCCCAAGGTATTTTTACTGGCTAATTACTTAAGTGAAGCCGCCCCGGCGGAGAGTGCGCCGTAACCCGAGCAGGGAACCAGATCCAGCTTGGATTGTGCCCGGCCGGCCGGCCCAGCAGGAGGGGGCGGGGGTGAAGGCAGCAGCCGACCACCCACTGAGAGGGCAGCCGCCCTGTCCCCCACTATCCCTGCTCTGAATTAGCGCGGGGCCTGAGCGTCCCTTGTCCCTGCTCCCT